ATGGAATGGGAATTGTCACCATGGGAATGGGAACGGCCACCATGGGAATGGGAATTGTCACCATGGAATGGGAATTGTCACCATGGGAATGGGAATTGTCACCATGGGAATGGGAATTCCATCACAGAATGGGAATTCCATCACAGAATGGGAATTCCATCACTCACTGGGCTGTTCCTCCAGAACCCCCCAAACGAGCCATTGCCATGGATGTGCCAGTGAAGCAGAAAGGCCCCAGCCTCTGGAGCCAGCTCAGAGCCGGTGTCAATAACTCACATCAGAGAAAAGAGCAAACTGCAGCAATTGCTGTTAAAATGAGCTGACTTCCCCTGCAAGCACAGCTGAGGGTGAGGAGCCTCAAGGACAGCACGGATGGTGGCACTGCTCAATAATCCACGAGGCACCATCTGGTGGCCCTCACTCTGCTGGAACGTGTGCCAGCTCCTCTGCTCCGGGTGGGAACACTGAGGGATCAGCACTGAGAGTTCCAGGATGCAAAGAGTGAGGGATCTCCATGCCCAGCTCAGCCCAGGACAGATTTCACCTCCTTAGCAGCCTCCCTCTAAAAGCAGAGCCATGATCTCACGCTCTCTGAGAGCATCCAGCACAAAGTTCCTGTGCCTGCATGGAGCTGAGGTCATTTTCTCAGATTTTTGATGATGTTCATGTCACAAGATACAGAGAAACAGAGCTTTAAAAATGAGTTCTGCATCAAACAAGAACCCAACTGCCACCTCTAAAAATTAATCTGATTACAGGGAGTTGTGGTTTTGCATGGGAGACATTTACCCACCTTTTTAAAATAAAGTATCAAAGGAATGGATTTCTGAGCAGTAAAAAAGTGAATTACACTAAAATCACAATGAAACAAAAAAACCTGAGGGAGAACCTTTGGGAACAGGGAATGAGGGGCTCCAGAGGAGAAACAAAACTAAAAACATCATGGGAATGGGAATTGTCACCATGGAATGGGAATTGTCACCATGGAATGGGAATTGTCACCATGGGAATGGGAATGGCCACCATGGGAATGGGAATTGTCACCATGGGAATG